CCAAAAAACCGGTTAATCCACCCTTGCGATTATCTTGCAGACCCAAAGAATCGCCTTGTTGGAGGAGCAAGTCCTGTGCAAAATGCCATGCGATTATTGTGATGCGATATCTTGTGGTCAAACTGAAAAATCTGCCCTTACGCATGCATTGGCCATAATCTGACGATTACGAAGCGGGACCTTCTGTTCCAAACGGTCATGCGTACCCCTGGCACTAGACAATATTTCGCCGGAGCTAAGACTCACACTACCGGCGTCCGGCCATCCAAGGAAAGCTGAGGGTTCTCCTAGAGTTCTCAGGTGAATAATGACTTAACTGGCACACGTAGTTGGATTTCTGGGCTTTTAGCTGGTACCTACGTCAGGAGTACTGTATGGCAGCTTTGTCATATATATTTCATATTACTTGTACTACTACTTGTTTGTAGGATAGGCATTACATGGTTATTCCATAGTAGTCCATTGATTCGACCCAAATGTTCACTGAAAGGTCGGGTCCGGCAAAAAACATATCTTGGAGACTTGACTTCATGTCCTACAGTCAATATGCATATATAACTAAAAGCAACCTCCTCGGGGACGTCGGGGAGCAAATGAGGAGCCGAACCGTCACACATTTGTCACGCAGCGGCAGAACATCAGCAAAACACGTATCTGGGCTTTTAGTTAGTACCTATGTAGGGAGTAGTGTAAAATGTGTTTGCCATATACGTATATATATATATATATATATATATATAATGTTAGGGGGCGCTCACCGATCGTTCATACGGAACTCACTCGTTCCGTTGTGCCTTAAGGGCTCTCTCTCGAGCCCAACCAGCAGCCGCACAGCGGCGCATGATATATATAGGCAGAATATCATTACCCTTAAGGCACAACGGAACGATTGAGTTCCGTATGAACGATCGGTGAGCGCCCACTAACATTGTATATTCCCGATCGAAAACCGACAAGGCAACGGGCTCGTGGCCCGGTGAGTAGAGGCGTTGACTTCTAAACCAACAGGTCGCGAGTTCGAGGCTCGGGTGTTCCACACTTCGGGCTTGGGTATGGCTGGCTGACGACGGCTAATAAGCCAGAAATGGCCATTCCAGTCTCCCTTGTCTTTGTCGGTAATGCTATTCTGCATATATATATATATATGCATGTCAAGTGGGTGTTTGACCCTCACTGTTGTGGTTAGGATCTCACTCGATCCCATTCTGTCCGCCCGCCAGCTTGCTACTGGCGACAACGAACGCTGTGTCGCCAGTAGCAAGCTGGCGGGCGGACAGAATGCGATCGAGTGAGATCCTAACCACAACAGTGAGGGTCAAACGCCCACTTGACATGCTTATATACCTCACTTCATAAGGCCTATGACGTACTGATGATCGGTAACGACCGTGAAACAGCTGTCTGCGTCTGGCCTGTTGCACTCTTAGCGAGCTGCTCATGTATTATATATATAAATATATAGCTGCAGAGTGTTATTGCCGAAAAAGACAGGGGAGACAAAAGAAGACTGTCATTGTCGGCGATAACATACCGCCTATAACATGCTCGGCTGTGCGCCCTCTGGTTGGGCTCGAGAGAGAGCCCATAAGGCACAACGGAACGAGTGAGCCCCGTAAGAACGATCGATGAGCACACACTCCACCATTATATATATATATATATATATATATATATTGAGAAGAAAAGACGATCTCGGAAACAAAAGTTTTACTGTCCTGACGTTTCAAAAGCATACAAGCTTCCATCGTCGGAGGTGAGTGTGGTATCGCGCCTCACAGTATTTATAGGTGGGTGACAGTCATGGCAAAACGGGTTTTCTTACATATGAAGTCAGGGCGGCAGGGGGGAATGGGCGGGGGGAGCCCTAAGGCGTCTTTTCGCCGGATGAGGGGGTGGTGGATCAGCTCTAGTGGTCATCAGCCGCATGCACACATGAACTGTGGCGGGCGGGGGGGAGGGAGAGGGGGGGGTGACGGAATGCACTCAATCCACATCGGAGGCCGGTGTTGAGAGGTTGGTGGTCGTCGTTCGTACCTTCATTGACCGTAGCTGTCGTCCAAGCCTGGCAATCTTGTTTACGCCGCAACGACTGTCCGTTTTCTCATCCGCCGGACTAGTTGATAGACCGGCTGTGGTGAGGACTGCGCCTTCGTCGGAACCCGGTTGAGGGGTGGCTAAGTGTGTATCCGCCATGGACTCGCTCATGTCTGGCTTCATGTTTAGCCTGGATGCACGTCTGCTCATTTGTTTACTGAGCCGCGCTCGAAGGGCTTGATGGGCGGCGGGAAGAGCCACACAGCGGTTGATGGAGGTTGTCCCCGTGTGCCAAGCCTCGATTGTTTCCCTGGTTATGCGATCGTTCCCCGGCCCAGAATTTCGGCATGCTGAAAGGCGAACGTGTGTCCGGCATCGGCGCAGTGTTCGGCAACCAGAAATAAAGGGTCCATTCGCCTTACTGCCCTCATGTGTTCTCCAACACGGGTCTGTAGCCGTTTGCCGGTCTCCCCAATGTAGTTGGCTTTGCAGGAGTTACACCGGATCCGGTAGATGACGTTCGTGGTTTCACCTAGTGGCAGAGGGGCCTTAGGTCTCATGACCAGATGTCGAATTGCTGACTCCGGTCGGTGGGCGATGCCGATCCTCAGCGGTCTTAAGAGACGCGAGACGGCCTCAGAAACGCCGTCGATGTATGGAAGCGCCCACCATATTGTTGGTCGTTCTGTCACCAAACGTCGGCTCGGTCCGGCCTGTCTGCCGCGTTCGATGAAGTTGCGAGGATACCCCTTGGCCATGAAGAGGCGCTGGAGGTAGCGTAGTTCTGCCTTCTTTCGTCCGGCTCGCTGCAGTGTGTTTCTGCCCTTCTGTAGTGGGTTCGCACACAACTGCGTTTGTGGCCTAACGGGTGCTTACTGTGGATGCTCAGGATTTGGCGCGTATTAGTGCCCTTCCTATATGCCGTCATTTTAAGGTGCCCATTGGGTTTTCGATGGACGATAACGTCCAGGAACGGCAGTTGATTGTTGGCTTCCGCCTCCATTGTGAACTGGATGTCAGGAAAAACAGAGTTCATGACATCATGTAATTCCTTGACCATTTTCCGCTTAATGATAACGAAGGTATCATCGACATATTGAGCCATGACTGTCACCCACCTATAAATGACAGTTCGACCATCGGTTTCGATGATGTCCACCGTGTGCCCCACAGTTGTAGCAGCAATGGGAGCAGGTACGGTGACTTACGCAGGGGTTTATAGTGCCGGTAGACTTGCGTAGCATCTACCTACACTCTCTCCTCCTCCCTCGCCCGAGCCCGGTGTCAAGACAGTGTCAAGAAGACCGGAGACGAGAGAGGCCGCAGGTGGATGGCTCGGACGGATCGTCACCTTGGCCTTCCACCACACCCCCTGGTCCACACAACAAATAACCAGGATTTCAACCAACACAAGAGAGATTTGGAGGCTGGCACGGCCGAAGCCGCACCTGGGCGTGCCGCCAACGCCTGGCTCGGATCCCACACTGTGATGGGAGTGCCATAAAGGTCACATTAAAAAGGAGCCATTGCAGTCTGACTCTCAGACCGCCTCCGGTCAAGGAGGAGGTCCAAGGTACCCCGTCAGTTGGCAACCTTCCAAGCCACGGCTTTTAGCGCACCGTGATAGCTTCAAGCGCGTCAGATTGTTTATAGTGAGGAGAAGGTGCACTGAGTCGTCGACC